ATTTTCATTTGTGAACTGTCCAAGGCATCTACAAACTGATCCCTCAGCAACAAATTGAGGAGATCGGGTGGTGCAGTTGGATAGGCCTTGTGTGCCATACTTTCCAAGTTCTGTGCCAGCTCTTGCAGGCTCTCCCCTTTAGCATGGACTCTCGTCCTAAACCTAGCCCTGTAGACTTCTGACTGGTTTTGGGTTCTATAGTTGGTTTTGCTCTATAGTTGTGTCTGTCTTCTGCTGACAACTGTCTAAGTATTTCCAGTGGTTGTTCCTTCAAGCTCGTTGCCAGATATAGTGCTTTCTGCTCCTCTGTCCATTCATTCATTTCTGCCAGTAGCTCAAATTGTGCTCTATATGCTTTCCATCAAATTCCTGTGGCTTCCTTCATACTGGATCACCCCTATTGCTGACATTTATATCTGGGATGTGACTTCTAACAGGACTGAAGATGTCTGCATGAGGGTTTAGCTGCGGGGCCTGGAAGGGGCTTCCCGTGGTCTGAGGCTGATTAGGTCGGTGGCTAATATATCCTCCTTGTGTAAAAGACAGTAAATTATTCTTTAATGTATTTAATTCGCTTTGAAATTTACTAATGTTTTCCATTTGTGTACCCTGGCTTTCTCTCATTGTTGGAGAGTTTCTTCTTGTTTATTTTCTTTCTCCTCCAACTACTGCTTTAGTCTCTCTTCTTGTTTATTTTGCTGTTTGAGCTTCCACTGTTGCAAGTTATCTTGCCACTGCTGTAATCTCTCTTCTTGTTTCTTTTCTTTTTTCTCCAACAACTGTTGTAATCTCTCTTCTTGCTTCTTTTCTATTTCATCCAACAACTGCTGTAATCTCTCTTCTTGTTTATTTTGCTGTTCGAGCTGCCACTGTTGCAGGTTTTCTTGCAACTGCTATTGTCTCTCTTCTCTTTTTTTTCTTGTTTATTTTCTCGTTCTTCTTCTTTCTTTTGCTATTCTTGTATTGCTGCCATCATATCTGCTACACTGTAGTTTGATTTGACACCTTTCATTTCCATCTTCTCTTTTTTCAATTTCCATCCCACTTCTGACACCAATTTGTTACGTCTCTGTTCGTTTGTTAATTTTCCGTAAAACTTCTTTCGGAAGAAACTTTAGCGATACAAGTCCTTTCGTAAATAAAACTAGTTTATTCTTTCTCAATACAACCTTGCAATACACTTAATTTCCACTGTCACGCTATAACTTAAATAAATGCTATAATTCACAAAGAACGATTTAGGCACTTGACTCAATTGTCCATCTCTATCTCTGTCTGCAATTCAATTCCATTGTTGCCGTCACTCCTTGGCGGTCTTATATACAAGAATACCGCACATCTAGTAAACACTCGAGCATTCACGAACCTTCTAGAATATCATGAAGTGTTACTAGTGTTACGTGACTTCCGCTGTCGTAACAGTTTCTTACTTACTAAATGTAAGAACTTTTCTTTTTTTCACTTTTTAAAGTACAAATTAGTATTGTCAAATTTACATGAGAATATACACCAATTTTAAAGAAATTTATCTGATCATGCAAGGGATAGATAACTTTTAAATAATTGAAGATTAAACAGTCCCGAATGTATATAGTTCAACAGATTTAAGTTGAGACTTGGAAAAAGTTAGCTCAATTTTTATTGTACATACTTTAACAAAATGGCTATGCCTATAACAGTCAGTTTATTTTGTTGTTTCATTAGACTACTGAAACTGGAGAGCTTTATAATGAAGATGTTGAAAGTTTTAACACAAACACTGAATGAGTGTATGCATGTAGGATTTTCGTATTACACTTGCTAAGTGACATAATAAAGATATACTGTGCTATTATTTATAGCTAAAATACAACCATGAAGAATTATTAAGTGGCGTTATATAAGTGTTATATAAAACTTTAAAATGTTGACTAGTTGTTTACCCTCTATAATTTATCACTTAAACGAAAATGTTGATTAGCAGCTCACCCTCTATAGTTTATCAGTTAAAATTAAAAATGTTGATTAGCTGCTCACTCTCTATAGTTTATCAGTTAAAAGCACAAATGTTGACAAGCTGCTCACCCTCTATAGTTTATCAGTTAAAAGCACAAATGTTGACAAGCTGCTCACCCTCTGTAGTTTATCAGTTAAAAGTACAAATGTTAACTAGCTGCTCACCCTCTATAGTTTATCAGTTAAAAGTACAAATTGCTATTGCAGATAGTTCTTTGCACAAATATTCAAAACAAACCAATAATTTGATTTTCTTGAGAATTGCATGCCTATTTTATTATGTTAAATACACTTCTAAGTACACTCAAATTACAATAAACAATAATGACAAGGAGAGCTTAATTCTAGTTGTACAACAAATGTGTTTGCTTAAAGCTTAGTTTTATGGTTTTCAAAAGGTCGATTTAGATAAAACATTGTCATCAACTTCCAAAAGATTACAAATGTTAGATTAAAACATGTGGGGCATACATACTATTATACAAATTACATTTTGGTATTATTATATGAACATGTAATTTCATGCATAATGTGTGGCATCAATGTAATTTTTTGGTGTCTATACTACAAACTGACACAAATTTTAATTCAAGTAAAAGAAGTCCGAAAGATGAAAAATCTTTTCTATTTTTTTTGCTTACTTTGGTTCTTCTTTAGAATTATTTCATTTTTGTGGGTTGTTTAGAGACTTAGTTCTTTATATATATGTATTGTTACGTCTCCGTTTGTTAATTAACTTTCCGTAACTTCGTTGCGACGAAACTTTAACGACACAAGTCCTTACTTAATAAAACTGGTTTATTCTTTCCGAATATAACTTTACGATACACTTATTTTCAACAATCGCTCTATAACAAACTCTAAACGAACGTCAACAATACTTCTGACTGCAGTTCAATTACTCAATATCTATACACACACATTACATTATCCTTGCGTCACGTTGTCCCCTCTTATATATACCCGCCTACCCTAGTAAATACTAGAGCATTCATGAAAGAACAAGATAGTTCTAGAAAATAGAGGGCGCCACACCAGTCACGTGACCTCGATGACGCAACAGTATATAATTATTTAATGTTTATAAACAGAAAATATTCTCAAAATTAACATTCTTTTATTGTGCATTATAATAAGTTTTTAGTTTCTTTAATACTTACACATAACTGTTTAGTTAACCACTCAAGCTTCTATGTTGTACATATTCATTTTGAGGGGAGATCAATGTTGGCAGTTAGGGCTTTCACCAGTGTCCACGATCAAGTTATCCGTGACCCATGAAGCAAAATTTATGGGTTGTATCCATAACTAATAAAACTGGCAAATAAATATTGTTTGGAAGTGCTCATAACATGCTCATAAGGGTGTGGGTAAAATTATGCACCTGGTCACACCAGATGAGGTAGCGCTTTTTTTTCCTTATACTGTAAAATTATACACCTGGTCACACCCAATAAGGCAGTGTTTATTTCCTTATATTGTAAAATTATGCACCTGGTCACACCCGATAAGGCAGTGTTTTTTCCTTATATTGCAAAATTATGCACCTGATCACACCCGATAAGGCAGTGTTTTTTTTCCTTATACTGCAAAATTATGCACCTGGTCACACCCAATAAGGCAGTGTTTATTTCCTTATATTGTAAAATTATGCACCTGGTCACACCCGATAAGGCAGTGTTTTTTTCCCTTATACTGTAAAATTATGCACCTGGTCACACTCGATAAGGCAGTGTTTTTTCTTTACACTGTATATTTTTATTCTAGTCTTAGTCAATCATTAAATAAATTCCTAGTAACATAAAGTTACCTTGAGATGGGTAAAGATGATAATTATGCCATCTTTTCTGAAACTTTCACTCACATTCTTCAGCATCTGTTCAACAGAGAAAAAACAATGTGATAGTTCAAAAAACATATTAACCAACACATCAGTTAAAACAGCCTAAAACTGATCTAAACATTTAGTCATATACTTGTATATCAACTTTTACTAAGTGACAAAAGTGTATGATAGAGGGAAAGAAGTCATTTACAGGAAGAACTTAATACATAATTTAAACACAACTGCAGATATAAATAAGTACATTAATATTAATCAAGATTTTATATAAAATAACAAGACTTTCCTAAACTTGATTGATTCATGGTACAGTAATGTAAAGCTTTTAAACAAGGTGTATTCATGGTACAGTAATGTAAAGCTTTTAAACAAGGTTTATTGATGGTACAGTAATGTAAAGCTTTTGAACAAGGTTTATTCATGGTACAGTAATGTAAAGCTTTTAAACAAGGTTCATTCATGGTACAGTAATGTAAAGCTTTTAAACAAGGTTCATTCATGGTACAGTAATGTAAAGCTTTTAAACAAGGTTTATTATTCATGGTACAGTAATGTAAAGCTTTTAAACAAGGATTATTCAATGTACAAGAATGTAAAGCTTTTTAACTAAGGTTTATTCATGGTATAGTAATGTAAAGCTTTTAAACAAGGTATATTATTCATGGTACAGTAATGTAAAGCGTTTAAACAAGGTATATTCATGGTACAGTAATGTAAAGCTTTTAAACAAGGTATATTCATGGTATAGTAATGTAAAGCTTTTAAACAAGGTATATTATTCATGGTACAGTAATGTAAAGTGTTTAAAGAAAGTTTATTAATCATGGTACAGTATTGTAAAGGTTTTAAACAAAGTTTGTTATTCATGGTACAGTAATGTAAAGCTTTTAAACAAGGTATAATCATGGTACAGTAATGTAAAGCTTTTAAACAAGGTTTACTTAAAGATAATGTAAAATTCCTTAACCTGATTTCTTCATATGTAGTGTGAAACTCAGAAACCTGACTAATGTGAATATCATACTTCTGACTTATTGTGAAATGCATGATACTGTTGTAATGGTTTCTATTATTCAGCAGGTTCATTTGGATAACATGTAAAATATAATTCTAAATGCTAGTCCACTTAATGGTAAGTGTTTTATTTATGTGAATACAAGTCCGAATGTTTACAAATTTCATGGTTTAATATAACTAAAAATAGGCTTAATTTCACCAATAACCAATTTATTGATAAAAACTCCACATACTTTTGCTCTGTTGCTAACACAAACTCAAAACTTATAGCTCTGAACTACAAGCTAAATGATAGTATCAGATAAAGTGATAAACCATGAATTGATTACTTGTTAACTATCATTAGAGAATCGCTACTTCTACCCTAACTTGAAGTTAAAATGTGGCAACAACTGTTTATAAACTTTGAAGAAAATTTCAGACATTAAGCCACATGCTTATTGGTTGACATTTAATTACCCTGTGGCTAAACAACAATACAAATATCTAAGTTAAAACACAGTCTACAAAAGTACAATATTATGAAATTCCTAAACCTGACTTATTCAAGCTGTCTACTGTAAATCTGACTGTTACATATACATATAATTCAAGTAATCTCACCAAAGCCATAGTATAATCTATTTCTGTAAGCTTCTTCCCATCTATCACCATTGTGTTGAGACCATCACTGAGTGATGCACCTAAGAAAACAATTGTCATAGAATTACAAATTATAGTTTTTGTCTGTAAAAAATACTTGGATCCTTGAACTGATACTTGTATTACATTTTATCATGTTTCTTGATGCAAAAAACAGGTGCCTCGAAGGCCTAATTCAGGCCCACACTAATACGAGAAAGTTGAAAATCATTTTAGGGTCATTTGATTAGTATCTATGTAATTATCTTTACCTTCTTTAACAGGAATTGAACTTCATTTAGAAGTAGAGTCCTATACATCTAACCCAAACAAACAGCTTACATTCCACCACTATATGAAGCCTACTTTGTATATTTTAGGGTCAGAACATAACATAATGTTTTGGGACAACATGGGACATATTGGTCCGTCTTGGCTGTTCCATCCTCCAAACTGGCCCGGCATGGCCAGGTGGTTAGGGCACTCGACTCGCAATCTGAGGGTCGCGGGTTCGAATCCCCGTCCCACCAAACATGCTCGCCCTTTCAGCCGTGGGGTGTAATAATGTGATGGTCAATCCCACTATTCGTTGGTAAAAGAGTAGCAAAGAGTTGGCAGTGGATGGTGATGACTAGCTGCTTTCCCTCTGGTCTTACACTGCTAAATTAGGGATAGCTAGCGCAGATAGCCCTCATGTAGCTGTACGCGAAATTCAAAAACAAACAATCCTTCAAACTAAATTAAAATAATTTAAAAATCTTAAAGCCAGCCCTTATCATTCATATTGTACGTGTGTGTTTGTTTATTAATTTTTTTGTAGAAATTCTTTCTGAGAAACTTCAGCGATACAAGTATTTTCTTAAATAAAATTAGTTTATTCTTTCTCAATTCAACTTTGCACTACACTTAATTTCCACAGTCACTTTAACTTCAACACACGCTATAATTCACAGTGAACGATTCACACACTTTACTTACTACCGTGCTTGACTCAATTGTCCGTCTCTATCTCTTCCTGTCTGCAATTATCTATCTATCTGTGTATGCCGTCACTTCTCACTGGTCTTATATATACAAAATAGAGGGCGTCTGGTAAACACTTGAGCCTTCAAAAAAGTTCTAGATACTCATTACTTGTTACCAGGATCACGTGAATTCCGCTGTCGTAACACTGCCCCTTCCTTAGTGTTGTTCGTCCCAAACAATAGCCACTTACATTAAACCAATAGATAATTAACAATAACTTAATTAAATGGACAGAATTTACAAACACAAAATTAAAATTCAACAAAGTCTCTTAATTTTATGGGATGTATCTTCTTCCATACTGGTCTCCATCTCGTTGGCTTCTGCTTCAGGTAAAGTTCATCTGCTCCATAAGAAAATGCCCTATTATCGGTAATAGTCACATTAGTGGTAGTAACTTCACTATTTATCTTCTCAAAACCAAGTAAGGTTTCTTCTTCGACAGTTGTTTTTTTAGGTGACACGACTTCAGTGGTATTTTTTGTTCTGTTGTTCACTTCGTCCCAACTGAAATGTCGTGGACCGTGGTAACGTCAAAGCCTTTTGGCAAGCGGCACCTTTGGCTTACCTCGCCGACCACATTTTATTCGAAAAGTCACGTCTGAGAGACGATCCACTATGTCATATGGACCTTCCCATGGAGAAGACAACTTAGGAGACTTTCCATTGGTCTTCCTAGGATTATACAACCACATCTTGTCTCCTGGTACAAAGCTGACTTCAGTAGATATCTTATCACAACATAGCTTCATCGAATCAACAGATGTATTCAAGTATGAACGCACTTGATGGTGAATATCATCCATCCTTTCCGATAACACTTTCACGAATTCTGACACATTTTCAGGCAACTCTTCATAAGGTGGGTGTCCTGTTAACAGATCCACTGGCAACCGAAGTTCCCGACCAAACATCAACTTTGCTGGAGTGTATTCAGTGGTTTCATGCTCTGCTGTTCTATAGGCCATCAACAGTGGAGGGAGTAAGACATCCCAGTCATCTTGGCGGCTATTACAAAATTTTGCCAATTCCTGTTCCAGCATACAATTGTACTTTTGTACCATCCCATCAGACTGTGGGTGAAGTGGCGTTGTCCTGGTCTTTCATATGCCAAACAACTTGCAGCATTCTTGGAACACAGCTGATTCGAAGTTATGGCCTTGTTCTGATTGAAGTTCGTATGGCATACCAAATCTGAAGAAGAAATCACTAATAGAAAAAACTACAGTTGTAGCTTCCTGATTTGATGAAATAATCCATCACCACACAAATGTACTTCTTTCCAGCACGAGTTTAGGGCAAAGGACCAGCAATGTCAACAGCTATTCTTTCCATTGATGTGCCAATTTGATATAACTTCATTGGAGCACGTCCCTTATGCTTGGGTCCCCATTTAGCACAACATGTACCACATGTTCTGCACCATTCTTCCACATCTTGCCTCATATCTATCTAGTAAAACCTTTGTCGTGGGTGACTCAATGTCTCTTAACTCCGAGATGTCCTCCTGTTAAAGTATCATAGGATTGATGCAGCACAACTTCCCGTAACTTTCTCGGTATAACCGTTTGCCAGGTCGTCACTTTCCCATCTGCAGTTTCCCATCTCTGGAGAAGAATACCATCTTCAAGCTTCAACTGGTCCCATTGTGCCCAATAGTTCTTTGTCACACGGCTTAGACTAGACACCTTCTCCCAAGCAAAACACAAAACACTTGCTTTTAGAAAATCAATTATTGGATTCAAATCTTGGTGTTTCTCCTGCTCTGTTTTAATATCTATACCTGGTTCCATTTCACCATCATCAACTCTTCAGTCACTTTGACTTCAGCTTGATGGCAGCCGGTTAGTTCAACCTCTCTTTTAACATTTGCCGGAACTTGGTCTTTGTTGTTCCCAAATGTCATTTTATCAAAATCAACTACAAACTTGCTTGGTAGTAAGTAGTCCAACCCTAATATGCATTGGTCTTCAATGTCAGCCAAGTATATTTTGTGTCTGTTCTTCATGCCCATGATCTCAATAGTTACCCACACTGGTCCCCACAACCTTGCATAATGTCCTGTCACATCACATAGCTTCTGTATGGCTTCTGTACTCCTTTGTGTATCCTAGTATCTTGTAA